AGAAGACGGGCTCCTTTTCATAATATGTCTCTTGAAGCAATACTACATATGGATTTTCCTATTTTAGCTCAGATTGTACTGTGCAGCACTTTGCTGAAGAATTCATACCGTTAGCGTTGAATTAAATGACTGTCACAAATTTGGATGCTAAGTAACTGTATAAACACCCTAGATGGGAAAGAGGAATTCTTTCATCTTTTCTCTTCCCCAACACCAATCAGAAATCTCACACAAACCCTAGTTTGCTCAGTTGGCTACAAAGTATTATATCAGCTCAGCTGAATAAGTACTAAACACAAAATGAAAAAAGGCATACAAACCAATAAACAGAAAAAAGAACAATTAAAATTTAACATCTTTAACTCAACTATCCAACAAATAGTAACAGAGCATGGAGTTCCTACTCCAGTCCTCTGAAGATGCCGGCCACAGAGACTGGCGAAATGTCAAGAAGAACAACCTTCAGAACACAGCCAAAGAGCCCGAAAAACAACAACTATCAGATCCTGGCCATGAAAGCCTTCAAGAATACATTTAACATCTTTAGTTGGTGTTATCAAGTTTTCCAGTGAGGGACTGTTTAAACATCTGTCATATAGAGGCGAAGTATTGCTAGCAGGTATCATCACTTATGTCAGAAGATTTTGAAACATACATCTGAGGCTCAAAGATTTTCTGTTACCATATCCCATGACTTAATTCCCCCAGGGTTAGTATTTCTTACATTAAACAGATATTTAAGATATACTGGGCAATCCCTTTTTCTGAATGTACAGTTCCAGTCTGTAACATTTCAGGTCTGGATACCTGAAGGACTGACTGCTTCCATACACATTTACCCGGCAACTGAGATGTAGCCAGAAGGCCCTCCTTAAAGAGCTGCCCCTCAGTGAGGTGAGAGGGATGGCTTGTAGGCAGAGGGCTTTTTCGGCAGCTGCCCCAGTCTTTGGAATACCCTCCCAAACGATGTCTGACTGGCGCCAACGTTACTGATATTTTGGTGCCAGGTTAAAACCTTCCTGTTCCGGAAGTTTTTTAATTGAAGGTTTTAATTTTAATTAATAAGTCATGGTTCTAGATTGTTTTTGTAGATTGTTTTTATTTTTGCTTTTGTAAAGTAGATTGGTTTTTAGTGTCTGTTTTTAACTGAACTGTTTTAATTGATGTTGGAAGCTGCCTGGAGACTCTTGCACAGTGTGGGCGGCATACAAGTCGAATATAAATAAATAAATAAATAAATAAATAAATAAATAAATAAATAAAATTGTGAACTGCTCTTATAGTGAAACCTAGTCAGTTAGTATGGGTACTTATTTCTAAATTTTCTGCTGCATCTATAGAATATATTGCCATTTAGAAGTATTTCTGAGCAGTTTATGGGCTTATGTTCAGAGTCTCCTTTGGATTTTTTAAGGCTTATGGTAAAAGCAGGCATGTCATTCTTTAGTTTGTAAACTATGTGAAAATCTAGTATAGGTATATTCTCTTCATGGCATTTTTGTTGCTGGCTTTGTTAGGTTACATTAATTTTTAGTTCCTGCACTGACAGTAGTTTCTGTTTCATATCCAGTGAAGAGACTGCACAGCAGAAGTGTTTCTCTAGATACATTAGAATTCACTTGAATTACCACTTGTTATCTTATTTTGGTTTCCTATGATTATGCTCAGTCCATACTTCAAGAGTTCCATACTTTTAGTTTTTTCTATATTGTGACAGAAGTGCAGAAAATAACTGCACAAAAATGATCATCAGAGAAGTCACCAAAACAGTATCTAAGTTGTGTTCTATTCCAGTGGTTCTTAACCATTGTTACTCGGATGCTTTTGAACTGCAACTCCCAGAAACCCCAGCCAGCACAGTTGGTGGTGAAGGCTTCTGGGAGTTGCAAAACACCTGAGTAAACCAAGGTTAAGAACCAGTGTTCTATTCCCCTGCAGAAGTTTGTGTATACTGAATTCTTTAGGAACAATTTTTCCTTCAGAAACAATCTGATTAATTAAATCTCTTCATGGACCTGTTTGTGTTGATCTTGTTGTATAAAATTTGTGCAGGTTAATGACAATTAAATATTGTCTTAGGAGATAATAAGCTGGTAGCCAGCTCAAGGTTGACTTGGCTTTCCATCTTTTTGAGGTTGGTAAATTGAGTACCCAGCTCACTGGGGGAGCTAAAGTGTAGACAGAAAAATTAAATTGTAAAACTGTCCAGAGAGTGTTTTGAGCACTATGAGGTGATACATAAGCAACACATAACTTTTTTGCTTTACTTTAATAAAATATCCCCTTTACTCCACAGTCATAGGTGTTTGTTCAATAATGATTTGAAGCTTACAAAACTAGATGGTATACATTAAGTCTGAAAGTACTGTAAGTATTTTATTTGGAGTCGTGTTATAAATTAAGTCAATGTCAGACAGATCTAATTCTGAAGGATGTTAAGTTCAAAAGTGAAATAAAAAATGCAACTAAATTTCCTTGTGGTTTGATTAAAATTGCTCCTCAAAAAATCCCTATCTCCTTCTTAGCTAGGACCAACTTCTGTTGTATTAAATATGTTTTTTATAGGGGGGTGCAATTTATTTACTCCAGTGCTGCCTCTAAAAAAGGGTGACACACGCCACCTAGAATGGTTCTGTTTTGTCATCAGGGGTCCAGATGTTCTAGCTTTGAAGTGATGTCATTTATTAACTATAAATTTATCTAATACTGTAGTTTTTTGCTATTAGAATGTTTTCTAAAATCTTGTCTAGTAAAGTACCATCATCTGAACATTTTTGTTAGAATATGATTTAGCAGATTTCTTCCATTTTTGGCATGTGTTCCCTGATGACCCACTTGCATCTCTTAGCTTCAGTGGAGCAAAGGTAAGAAGATACCAGTACACTGAACACTTGACTATTTTCCAAACCCACATTATTTGTTTAAAAGATCTCTGTCCTTGGATACCTCATCTTTAATTCCAGTTTCTTAAGTGTTGGATTTCTTATCCATTTACCTAATATTGTCCCTTTTAGATGTTATTCACATTAAAAAAATAGTTAACATGAGAATGGTCAGTAATCAAGGTTAAAAACACGCTTCTTGATTCCAAAATACCTCTGACAGACCTGTTTATCACTTTGACCAAGGTCTTCATGCTGTCAAGCAGCATGTTTTACCACCCCATCCTGTAGTACCTAATTCTGTTTGTTCTGATTCCAGCTGATGCAACCCACTTTTCTGTTGTTGAACTATGTAATACTTTTTAAAAATAAATATTCCTCTCCTGATTCTCAATATTTATTCACCTTTTCCTATAGCGAGTGACAGCTGACTGTGTTGTCCATGGGTTTCACTGAGTCACTATGTTGTCTCAAGCACAAAAAGAGGATTTGAGTTTTGTAGCTCTTTCCTGTAAAATCCACTCTTCTACAACATGTTGGTGACTAGGGATGAAAGTTAAAGAAAAGTACAAAAAGGCTCTTGCTTTCATCTTCATTTTTTTCCCTGGAATTCCAAAAGAGAGCCTCTTAAGTAATGGGCTTGCTTAAATGAAAGAGGGGAACATGAAAATTTTGTGGGTCATTTGTCTTTCTCTTTTTCTTTCTCTGAGATTGTCCAGGAAATTTGTTTTGCCTTGCCTTGCCATAACCGCCATGTGTCTTCTTGTCCTGCTAACCCTGCTTCTTTCTCCTCACTGGCCCCACCAGCTCCCACTCTTTCCTTTCCTTCTGCCTTGACACTGCTGTGTGCCTCCTTGCTCTGCCACCCTCTACAGTGATGCCTCGCAAGACGAAAATAATTCGTTCCGCATTGCGAAAATTTCGTCTTGCGACGCTTGGTTTCCTATAGGAATGCACTGAAAGTAATTAATGCGTTCCTATTCATCTTGCAAAGCACAGCCATAGAAAAATTTGTCTTGCGAGTCACCAAAAAATCGCAAAATGCTTTCATCTTGCGGGTTTTTCGTTGCACGGCATCACTGTATTGTGGAACGTGTCCGACTCAATATTGCCACAAACTCAAATGACAGAATTTCTATATCTTTTATTCTTGTTAATTAAATGTGTTGTTTAAATTTACTATGTTATGTGCTCAGAGTGATTATTTTATATGTGAACCTTCTTGCAGAGCTTATAGTTTCTTGTGCTAAGAACATCTCTAGTTGTATAACCTGCGTTTCTTCATGAAACTGGCACCATTTAATGTAGAACATCCTATAACGCTGGAAAGCACTGTTCGATATACCAGATGACTTAAAATGATAGAATAATTTAGTTTCTTGAAGAGTCTTTAAACACTGCAGATAATCAAATCTCCTAAACTGGTGCATTGTTTATACAGCTGGGGCTTCTTAAGTTTTATGAACAGTGATGTGAAGGAAAGTAAGCTACAGGTCAAAACAGTGTTCATGCTGAGAGAAAGACAAATCATGTTTAGTTCCAAGTCAAGCAAAACAATCAGAAATCAATTTCCTAGAAAAACATATATACATCTTTTGCAAGGCTCTGCTGAAGTTTTAAAAATGTATAGTATAGTCACTAAATTAAAAAATTAAAAATCTGAGTTTAAAATCTATTTATCCATTTTTACAAGCACAGACAATTTATTTTAATAACACATTTGATGAAGCATCTATGTTTATGTGAGTGTTCAATGAAATATGTGGGAAATCTGCATATGTTGAAGATGGTGATGGTAAAAAAGATCATTTATGCCTATCACTGTAAATAAGCCAGAATAGCTGTATCACTGCAAAAGGGTCACACATAAGAAATCAGAAAGAAGCCTACATACTCAGACACAAATGTTACCGTGTTTCCCCCAAAATAAGGCAGGGTCTTATATTAATTTTTGCTCCAAAAAGGCAGTAGGGCTTATTTTCAGGGGATTTTTTTTTCATGTACAACAATCTACATTTATTCAAATGCAGTCATGTCATCTTCTTCGGGTTGCTGCACAAGGATGGAGGGTGGGGTTTCACATAACTGGGGCTTATTTTTGGGGTAGGGCTTATATTACGATCATCCTGAAAAATCATACTAGGTCTTATTTTCAGGGAAACAGGGTAAATAAGAAAGAACAAGAAATATAGAACATGCTAACAAACTAAAATTCATACTTAACCCTGTTTCTTACGAGTGAAACCCTGGCAAGCAATCATATATATTACAAATAGACACCAGAGAGACATCTGCATCCATTCACAGTAAGGCTTTCAAGATATATGAAGTTTTATAGCATTTGTATTTTAAGGATTTAGGGCAAGTACATGTTTTTCTACTAAATAAAAAGTTAGTACTTAAAAGATTCAAAAATATATCAAGTGATTTTTCTTTTTACATAAATAAATTATATTGATTTTGGATTTAACAGCTGAAAAACCTCTCTGCTTCCACTGGAGGCAAAACTGAACGAATTGCTAGTTAAACAGAGACAGCAGCATTTCTAAGAAATCTGTCAATAATGTTGCAGTATGTGTACTACGATGTCATTAAAGGGGCCGTATCGCATTTTGGATTTTTTTTTTTTGCAATAGCATAACCAATTGTATATTGTTGAAACTGATTCCAATCTTCAAAATTAGAAATTCGTTGGAAATAAGAGACTTCATTTCAGTTTATTGGTAACAGACTTCTTTGAGATGCTAATTTTAACATGTACATACTTTATAATCCCGATTGTATAAAAGACAATGAAAAAGGCATCATAAATAAATAATGCAAACTGAAATAGTTATGTCAAAACATTTGGACCATTTGATAAATTAGCAAAACTGTAACAGAAAAAAGTAAAAAATACAGTAAATAGTGACAAACCAAATATGAAACTGAGTAACAGCATACACTCCCAACACTCTCTAATGGTCTGCCATTTAAACATCACACTACAAAGTGTTTTTTTTCAAGTCTCAAACCATGAGCTGTAAATCAAAAAAAAAGCCCAAGTGAAAGAAAAGTAACATAGGAGTAGGGGTAAAAAGGACTATATAAGAATTGCCTGGGTGGGGTGTTCCAAAAACTGATCTTTGAAAACCTAAATATGTCTTTAGTTTCATTTTAAAAATACAAAATGTATGTATAGAGATGCTGGGCGATACGATTCAACAGTGCAAGGGATGAAGAGGAATGGAAAGAAAGAGTAAAAATACTTTCACAGTGTAATACTAGAAGTGAATAATTAACTCAAGCTTTGAAGCAGTCAATGCTATTTGATAAAGGCCATCTCAAATGAGAACACCTCTCCTGTTTTTAAAGTTCTGTTTTGTTTTGTTTTTAATTTAAAAAAATGAAAAGAACTGATGGAACCAAGATCCAGTTGCCACAAAAGAAAATTAAAATTGGTGGTTTGTTTTTCACTGAGGGGGCAAAGTAGTTGTCTTTCTAAGAAATGAATAGTGGCAAGATATAAGAAAACCTGGTAATTTTAATCCCCTATCCCTGCATGCATGCACACGTGCATACACAAGCACACATATAAAATCTTGGAAATGTGTGTTGATTTCTCAGTAGGAGCTGGAAATGGCCTAAGAATCAAAGAACAACTGAAATGCACCTTTAACATAAAATAAGATTTGGTTTTAGAAATATAAAGTTTCAGGTAATCTTTCCACTTACAGCAGTTTGTTTCCAAAACTTTGTAGTGTGAACAAGAGGAAATTATAGATCTAATATTAATGCCTTAAAAAAAGAAATGAATATATGTATTTTCAATCATTAGTTATATACTTCTGTCTATACTACTGTTCTAGTAACCATGATAAAATAGGGAAATACTTTAAATCAAAAAATACACATTAGCACTTACTATAACTGTGCTTTTTACCCCAAAATACAAGATTTTTTAAAAAATTCAGTGTCATAGTAAAAACATCTACCATTTCCTGCATTCTTGTGTTTCCACCATACTAAGAGTACTTTTCTCAGACTTTCCCGCAAACAAACAAGCAGTTTTGGGGAACCGACTACTTATTTACTATTGTTTGGGAGAAAGGAGGGATGAACAGCTAGACAAATGAACAAAAAATCAGTGCCTCCCATACTAATTATAGAACATTGCTTATCTCAATGGCAAGACCCTGCAACTATTAACATACCACCATATTTCTCTTACCGGGAATTAGGTAGATATTATTACTTATTGAAACACAGGTTTTTATGAAGGTGAAGTGGGGACAGAGGGCAGTAACAAATATTTATGGGATGAGAACGTACAAGCCACAACATTATTTTTTCAGAAAGAAACAAAAATTCTAATTGATATCTTTAATTTCTTTTAACTCTTCTTCTTCTTCTTCCTCTGCTGGTACATCATGGTCATTTTCTGCTGACATAGATGATGTTTGTTCTGCACAGTTTTGATTGTTTGCATGTTCCTTGTCAGCTAGTGATAGAGTTTCTGGTTCTGGATTTGCTAATTCCCCTTTAGTTTTCTTTCTCTTCCGTTTCTGGTTTTCTACATTTGTTGCCTCTGAGTGTCTGTTTTGCTGAAGGCCCGGCAATGCCATACCAATCCCGGGAGAAAGAAACATTGAAGGATAGATAAGTCCAGATGACATTCCTGGAATAAGAAATGGGTTAAAAGCTACAGGACTATTGGTAGTTATTGCAGGTTCTGAATGATCAGAAAATGAACTAGGGCCTGACTTGTCTTCAGAAAGAGTTTCTGTTTTTGCACCTTGGTCACTCTGCTTGTCTTCAGCAATCTTATCTGCATGTGATGTATTACTTTTAGTTGTGCTTGTTAATGAAGTTGGAGCAGATGAAGTACAAGCCGTTGTCACTGATGGACTGAGAAGTCCTCCAACACCAAACATCTGTGGTACAGCAGCCATTCCTGGCAGCATCATTGGCAACATACTTAGAGTGCTTTTAATATCCTCACCAGCAGGTACTGCTGCAAATCCAGCAGGAAACCCAACCAGCCCAGCCAGAGGAATACCTTGCATGTTTCTCATATTCTGAAGTCCTACTAAATCCATTCCAGCAATAAGTCCATTCATGAATAATGGTCCCATTCCAGAAGATGCATCTGCTACTATACCAGGAGTTTTAAAAAGTTCATTCCTTGGACGTCTTCCTCTTCTTCGAGGCCCACTATCTCGTTGTACAGGCTCAGTGAGAATACGATTAAACTTGCTTTCAGGTAAAAAACCCTAAAAATGAAATAAAAAAATTGAATGTTATTACTAACCTAAGGGGCTCAGCACTAACCCCTTTGGTGGAATAAATCCACAGCTACCATTCTATGCTACTAAAAATTAAGGGGAATATGGAGAATTCCAACAGCATAAAAGCAACAAAACCATCTGTCCTGGCCTCTGCCCTGCAGTCTAGGCCAAATTAGTAGTCAAGATTAAAATTTGCTTTGTCCCCTTTCTCACAGTCATAATGCAATTCTATGAATATCTGCTTAGAAGTTAAATCTCAACATGTTCATCAGAATTTCCTCACAGATAAAAATGGATACAGGATTGGGCATATGGAAGCTGAATGCTGAGGACTCCAAATACATTCAGGCATTCACTGGACAATAAGAGCTGATCCTTCCACTCCAGAAACACCATTGGGTTGCTTCTAACATCCACGAAGATAATGAAGGTACAGCATTATGGCCCAAGTATTTTTTTTTATTTATTTAATTGAATTTCTACCCTGCCCATCTAGTCTAAAGGTCTACTCTGGACGGCATTACAAGTTTAAAAACAGTTAAACCAATAAACATACACTATAAATCCAAGATGGTAAGATGTGAATTTAAGATACAGCAGGAGGGAAAGCCGGCCCAAATAGCCAGGTCTTGAGTTTGCTTCTGAAGACACCCAGAGAGGGAGCCAGGCAGATCTCCACGGGCAAGTTGTTCCGGAGGCGAGGGGCCACCGCTGAGAAGGCCTGGTTTCTCGTTCTTTCCTTCTGGACCTCCCTGGGCATTAGGCCCCTCAGCCGTCTGGCCTGGCTGGAATTCGTGACTCTGGCAGAACTGGGTGGGAGAAGGCACTCTGCCAGATAGTGAGGTCCTAAACCATTTAGGGCTTTATATGTAATCATAAGAACTTTGAAATCAATGTGGAAATGAATGGAAAGCCAATGCAAGGCGGCCAGTGTGGGGGAAATATATTGGTACCTTTTCACCCCAGTAAGAAGTCTGGCCGATGCATTTTGTACCATCTGATTCCGCATCAGTCTAAAAGGCAGCCCCACGTAGAGCGCATTACAGTAGTCTAATCTCGAGACTACGAGCACATGGACCAACATAGTGAGCGCCCCCACATCAAGATACGGACGCAGCTGGGCAATCCGCCGAAGGTGTAAATGTGCGGAACGGACCATTGAAGACACCTGGGTCTCCATGGTGAGCGCCAGGTCCAGATGTACACCCAAGCTGCAAACCTCACTCTTGGTGGTAAGAGTCACCCCCCCAAAGGAAAAGGAGTTTCCCAGACCACTAATGTCTGAGGCACCCACCCGAAGGACCTCCATCTTGCCCAGATTCAGCCTCAGTCCATTCGCCTGCATCCACTGCTGAACAGCCCCCAGGCAGTGCTCAAGGGCCGAAACACCATCCACTGTTGTTGGAAAAAAGGAGATGCAGAACTGAGTATCATCAGCGTACTGATGACACGAAGCCCCGCATCCTCTGATGACCCCTCCCAGCGGCCTCATATAGATATTAAACAGCATTAGAGAGATAATCGAGCCCTGCGGAACCCCACAATTGAGGCTCCACGGGGCCGAGAAACTCTCCAATCTGCACTCTCTGGGGATGGTCCTCCAAGAAGGAATGGAGCCAGGCAAGAGCAAGGCCACCGATTCCCAATGCAGAGAGCCTCCCCAGCAGAATACAGTGGTTGATGGTATTAAAGGCGGCTGAGATATAGAGGAGGACCAGCAGATACATTTTGCCCCTGTTGGCCTCCCTCAGCAGGTCATCAAACAGGGCAACCAGTGCCCTTTCCGTGCCATGGTACAGCCTGAAGCCTGACTGGAAAAGATCCAGGACATTGATTTCATCCAGAAGAGCCTGCAGCTGATCAGCCACCACCCTCTCATCTACCTTGCTGAGGAAAGAAACATTGGCGACAGGCCTATAATTACCAATATCATGCGCCGCCAAACTCGGTTTCTTCCTAGTACATTTTCTAGGGTGAATATTTGAATGAATATAGTAGGACTCACTTCTAAGCAAAGTGGAATAGGGTTTGGAGTAATACCTATATGGCTGGCTAAGAATATTTCTTTCTGCATCTCCAAACCCCTCTTTCTCCACCTGAAGAAGAGTCTTAGCTTTGAAAAGGGGTGAAGGTTGCTGTCTTCTCCAGAAAAGTTAGAAAAGTGCCTTTGACCCTTGCCACAAACTGGAAATCTTACGTACACTGATAACATCAAACATGCAAACACAAATGACTTGGAAATTCTGAAATACTGTCATGATCCCACTGAAGTTTGAAGATTATTAAAGAAAAATGCATCAATAACTTTGTGAACAATACTTTCTTCAATTGTTCACAGATGCAAAACAACAAATTCCTATACATGTTTAACTATCTCTCTGCTACATGTTTTATTTGAGAAGTGGAGACATGACATGGAAAGACATAGAAAAAGAAAACTATGAGCAAAGACCTTTCCCCAAAATTTTAACTTACTGAAAGCTTAACAATGTCAGACCAGTCTGCTGCAACAGCATAGTCCATGTTTGCATCAAGCCATCTTGGCAGTTCTTTTAATGCTGGTGCCATCGCTCCCCCTAACTACAAAATACAGTAAAAGGAAGTCCTTGATTGCAGAAAGTACTATGTGATATTACAAAAGCAATATATCATTCAACATCCAAAGAAAATAAAGATCAGCACAAGTAAATTCCCTACTTTTTTTCACCTGCTACTTCATCATCTAATTAATATAACATTCTTTATCCTATCACTTCTGGACTACAGTGGTGCCTCGCATAGCGAGGTTAATCCGTTCCGGATTAACCTTCGCTATGGCAAAACATCGCTGAATGGGACAGAAAAGCCCATAGGAACGCATTAAACATCGTTTAATGCATTCCAAATGGGCCGAAAACTCACCGTTCAGCAATGCTTCTCGGGTCAGGCAGCCATTTTCACGCCCTTGTTAAGCGAGTGCAGGGCGCAAAAACGCTGTGCGTGGCCATTTTGGGGCTTCCAGCGGCCATTTTGGAGCCGCTGAACAGCTGATAGTCCGGCTTTGTTTTGAGAAGATCGGTAAGCGAAACGCTTACCGATCTTCGCAAAGCGAGTTTTGCCCATAGGGGCCATCGGTATGCGATCGCATTTGCGATCGCTGAGACCCCATCGCTATGCAATTTCGTCGTTATACGGTGCGCTCGTTAAGCGAGGCACCACTGTACTCAGTTCAAACCTGGAAAGAGCAACCAATTCAATTCTGAGGGAAGTGTGATGGAACAGATGTAGCTGTGCAATAGGGAAGAAATAAGGAGAGTTTAAGCAGTCCAGAAAATTTGGGGGCTATTTAAGATTTCTAAGGCAAGAAGGCACCAGTCCGAACCTTTACAAAATTGAATAGGTGAACAATGAATCGGATTTGTTTGCTCTTTCTTTCAAAAACTAAAAGATGAAGAGCATGTGGCTGACTGAAAATAGTAATCCTAATCCTTAGTGCTTGGAAGATTATAAGGTCTAAGACTATGTAACAATTGTATTTTGTCCAACTGGCTTCACAAGAGGAAAGGGACTGCAAAGTACACAAACCTACTGTATAGTTATCCTACCTCTGTGTTAATACAGATGCAGATTTGGGATACAGAAGAATGACTTTCTTGGGGTTGAGACATCAAATTAAAACCTGGATATCTGTGGTCTCTCTAATGTAGTGGTTCCCAATCCTGAGTCCCCAGATATTTTTGGATTTCTTTGTGGCAGTTCCCAGGCTATGAATGCTCTACCAAGGGAGATCAGGATGGCCCCTTCCCTTTTACCCTTCTGTAAAAAGCTAAAGCCCGATCTCTTCAGGCAGGCTTTTAATAATTACAACTGAATCTTTGAACCCTATTTTAGCAGATAATTTTAATATTTTCCATGCTTTAATGTTTTAATTTTATTTAAAATCATATATTGTTTAATTTGTCTTTTAATATTTATTGTGTTTTTAATTTTGTGAATTTTAATGTTGTGAGCCACTTTGGGTCCTTTGTTGGGAGAAATGCAGCGTATAAAAAACAACAGCAACAACATGCAGAAATCCTGGCCAGCACAGCTAGTGGTGAAGGCTTCTGGGAGTCTTAGTGCACGAACATCTGGAGACCCAAGGTTGGGAACTACTGCCCTATGTTATATTTTGAAAACCAACCAACCTTGGTGTAATCTGTATTCGTGAAGGCTTTCATGGCCGGGATCTAATGGTTGTTGTGGGTTTTTCGGGCTCTTTGGCCGTGTTCAGAACATGGCCAAAGAGCCCGAAACACCCACAACAACCACTTGGTGTAATCCATAACTCATTCTCTGTGCCTGACCCACATTCCACTTAGAACGTCCTTTACTGGAAGAATACTTCCTTCATAATGCTTCTAGTGGTGTCTGGAAAAACACTTCAAAGTACATTGCCTGCTGCCCAATCTGGAAGCCTACTCAAGAGAAAAATCTAAAACTTGCCATATGCAGCCTTCCTTCTTTTTGAATCAATTTGCTAGTAAGAAATGATGTGACTTTCTATATCTCACAACAAATCATATTCCCTCTCTTTACTGGTCCACTTGTGAGAAATGTAGTCTGCACTGGAAAAGAGCAGGCTGGAACCTCTTGCTGTAAGCAAATCTGCTTGGAAGTAGGGATGATTATGCTCAAGTATCTCCACTGCTGCTTTTTAAAGATGCAGACCACACAGCACAACAACTAATGAGATAAGGGATAACAAACTTGACAAACTATTTACCCTTTGAAAGAAAATAGGCTTACAAGGACAATTCAAGTTTTTAAGATTTGAAAATCTCAGTTTTTTTCTCTCTCTCTCTGATATATTTTCAAATCACTTAAAAGAAAAATATATGCTTCTTACCCTCCGTCCTGTACCTTTATGGACTACAGGCACACGTTCTTCTCCTGTGAGAGAATTAATGTCCAGTTTACTAGGGTCCTTACAGCGCTGCCGCCTTTGTTTAGGCTTTTCTGAAAAATTCTAAAAGGAGTAATAGTGGATTATAAGTGGAAATTACTTCCAAGCAAGCATTTATAAGACAGAAAAGTGGAACTCATACTTACTGTGCCAAAGCCAGGAATTTCAAGAGTATAATCAGATTGCTGTCTCAGCCAGTCTAGAAGACTCTTGTTTGGAACTATCTTGTCTGCTTGGACGTTAGTCACTGGAACTGTCTGTTGACTTGAGGTAGTGATGGCTGGCCCATCAGAGTTGGGATTACTCGATATAGACTGGGTTTGATCTTCCTGAATAATGTGATGGGATTATACACAGGATGAGAGAAGGAAAGACTACTTGTGAGGTGCAGAAGGAATACCACATTCTCCAAATGGTGTTACCAGTATCAAAATAAAATCTTTGGTCAGGTGATTCTTCCCTTTTTTGGCAGTAGAAGGCCTTAATCCTACTTTCTGGATGCCTTCTTCAGATACACAATCACTTTTCTTAAAGTGCCTCTTAAGATGAAAGCAGACACTCCATGTAAAGTAAAGGAAAATGCCCATGAGGCTTTTGTGTAATTGCTGATGCCTCTGGGGATAGCATTTCATGCAGAAAATCTGTAAAATCAGAAGATATGCCCATATATTCCAAGTACAAATATGGACGCCAGTTCTAGCATAGATGCCATGTGAAAAATCAAAAGACATTTCAGAAACATCTGTAATAACACAATAGGATTAGTGCATTTCCTTGTTTAATGCTGGGGAGGCACTGCTCATTGAGAAATCCGGGCTGGCTAGAAACTAAGCATACTCAGCTGCTCCCAGCAATGGGAGAAGTACTGATGGATATGGTCAGCAGTTCATCAGTTAGCATTTATGGACTTTGTACAGATCAATGACCAAATGCCTTGGGTATCACATATACAGCACGAGAACAGTCTAGGGAAATTAACTGCCCTTACTTTTGAGAAGATGATGGCAATTTAAATTCACATGACCCATACAAAAAAGTCTCTTTACACTTCATCTCATAAAGGCAGAGTAAACTGCCTGAAGAAACTAAGTACTCTTTGAACTGTGGAAGGCTAATCAAGAAGGGGAGGAGAGTCTGCAATGCAAGCATTACTCATATCCACCTACATTACCAAGGGGCCTCAAGACTAAAACTGCCTCTAGTCTCATTATCTAGAACTAAATACGCAAGTGTAAAACTCAGCACAAAGATATAAAAAGTACTCAAACAATATAAAGCAAAAAGTGTGCTGCTTATATAACACCCCATAGTGCTTCAAGCACTCTCTGGGCGGTTTACAAGTTAATTATGCAGGCTACACATTGCCCCCCCCAGCAAGCTGGGTACTCATTTTACCGACCTCGGAAGGATAGAAGGCTGAGTCAACCTTGAGCCGGCTACTTGGGATTGAACCCCAGGTCGTGAGCACGGTTTTGGCTGCAGTACAGTGGTTTAACCAGTGCTATAGTCAGAAGATTTTTAAGAAGAAATATAGAAACAGAGCCACAACAGTTACCAACTAGTTTCTACTTACTACATTTAGTGCCTCGTCTCATATTTTACTATATCAAAAGAAAAAACAATGTAGACCTGTTGCATGGTGAAAGAAAAGTCAGGAAAATCTCAAAAAATAACAGCCCTGCTAAATAGGGACACTCATTCTAATGGGAAAAGTATGTGAAGCTCACAATTTTTTAAACTCAAGTAGAAGAGCAAGGTCATAGAGTTCTTTAGTTATGAATTAGGAACTTCTCTTTTATCATCCAGACTCTGCAGCACCTTTCCCAGACACACACTAAAGTAGTTAAACATGTTCAGTATTTTTGTGTTTTCTCAATCTACTTACTCTTAAAGTGATATCTGGTGTCAGATTTCATAATCTGCTGGATTTACTTCTTAGTTTGTCATTACTTTTATGATAATGAACTATTGTTAATTATTGGTTGTGAACTGCCGTAAATTATTGTGTTTAGTAAAAAATTAAATGTAAATGAAATCTGGGTATTTATTGTTTTATGTTTTAACATTTTCCTTCTTCTTTTCTTTCAAGTGTTGTTGCCTACTAGTGATATGTCATTTAGATTTTTTGGACTACAAATCCCAAATTTCTCCATTCTAGGAGTGCCACCTGATAGACAAGATACCTAAATGTGGCTCACCTGGCAGAAAGGTCTCACCTGGAAGGCTTTTGTGACCCAACTTCCCCCAGGCTTCCTGTTCAGAAAGGAAGCTACCCCAACACTAGCTAGGTCTAGTTAAGCCATAAAGCCTTCTGGCTTAAATCATTCTTCCAGGTGACTAACATATAGGTGTCAGGCTGAACTCCCAGAATAGAGAACTAAGAGATTTGTAGTCCAAACAATCCAAATGAAATATCCCTATCATCCCCATCTTGAATACTTTTAAGCCAGAGTGAGAATACAGTACTTTCCAAATTTAAACAGTGAATACATACTGACATACCGTATTTGCCGGCGTACAAGACGACTTTCTGGCCCTGAAAAACATGCCTCCAAGTGGGGGGGTCGTCTTGTACGCCACGTGCATGTCCAGCAAACCCTC